AGATTACTTCCCAGCAATCCCCTTTGGGGCGATTTGTGTGTGACCGTGGGCAACCTTACAATATGTTTATTCAGTGTCCTTTGAAGACACTTCAATAACATTTGAAATGTTTTATGGACAAATATAGGTTGCTTTCTATCTCTGCCTCGAACTGATGTCTTTGGAAGCAGGGCTATTTGAATTTGTTGTCCAAACTAAACCCTCCTCCTCTCGTGGGTTATTATAATATACTAACGAACTAATGGAACGGCTAAATGACCAAAGATGGAGTTTTGAAAGATGTCACAGGTGATCAAATGTTGACTTTAGAGGTGTGAAAATCAGAACTAAACCAAAAGCACCAGACACTGCCATACTACTACTGGTACTACTGCTATACTAATACTACTGATACTACTACTAATACTACTGATACTACTGTGTACACATGACCACAACCACAATTCCAGCAAAGATAGATTCTATTCTACCACTACTACTAGTTCTGGTACAACACAAGGCATCACTGCTTGTTTTCTACATTCACGACCATCAAATGAAAGCATCAGATCCAGTTTTACAAGACGTGACAACAGTTCAAGTTTAGCGGTAATTATAAAAACCACATGAATTGAATAGAATTTCATATTTACCAACAAAACAGCAGATCTAAACAAACGTACTGGTTTCAATTAATCTGTTAGTGGTGATTAGTTCTCATTTTCATTTCCTGATTGAACCCAAGTTTGACAAGACGGGACCAGAAATCCAACTTTAAAATCACAACAACAGTCGCATGCATAAGAAATGTTCGTTGGTAGTTTCTAAAACCATGTAAATACAGAATAAATGTTGGTTAAATTTGCCTAAATGTCATATTTATGTTTATTTATGCAGGTCAGAATCTAGTTAAAGTGGCTAGAATCTGTGGTAATGGTCACAACTGGTCCCTTCTATCTGCTGCCTTCAGCTGAGAGCATCTGATTCCTTACATTTAACAAATCAATGCTTGGCCGGTCAGTCGATGTCCGCCTTTTCACAGGCCGCGGATTCACTTTGTCGTGTCATTGAGAGGTTAGGTCCTGATCCGGGTGTCTCTGGGGGTCCCTGCCTATCTTTTCTACTCAAGCAGGCACACAATGAAGCAGACACGCCTATAAATGGCCAGATAGGCGCTTGGATGTGGAGCCAAAAACGAGCATCTAAACAATGGTAACAGGTGTGTATAATGCGTGCTTTGATAATGACCTTGGTGGCCGTAATAGTATGTCTAGACACAACTAACAGGAGGCATTTCTGTCTGGTCTCAGAAGTCCTGGGGGGGGTGGGGGGGAAGATCCTAAGAATTAGATATTGGCTAGTGACTGGCAGCCATTAAAAACTAACAGAAATGAGACGGTGCAGAACAAACGTTTCTGACTGGGAGCACGAGAGGCATCGGAAAAGTTAAGTTTAGCACTCGACGAAATATTTGTAGGGCCGTATGCATAATAAGCTAAAATCATCTTGAGTATTCAGAGATATGCACTTGAATAAATAGGAGAAAAAACTCCATTAATGTGGATGGCTTGCAATTTTTGATTGCGCCAGATACAGGAAGCTTGCTGACATGAACTAAAATGCAAATGCCCTTTGAGCAAAACAAAGAAATTGATTATGAAGTAAGTTTCTCCGGCACAAGTAGCCGGCGTTGAGTGATTAATGGGGGTGGGTCATTGATTTCCTTTTGTTTAGATCTTGCTTAACTTTCTGGAGACACAATTATAATTTGTTTCCAAACAATAAATCCAATCTAGCTTGAGCAAATTAAATTTCCTTATGGCCTCTTCTGTGTCATTTTACATGTGAAATGGATTGTTATCAGGAAGCCGTTGCTGTTTCTGTTTATATTTGTTACATTTCTGATTAGATATTGTTTCCCTCGCCATAGTGGAAGGTGAGAACCTCCTAAGATTAGAAGCGTTTGTTTACAGGGATCTCCGTGACTTGTCGGCGACGGTGCCAAGGGGTTAATCTTCCGGCTCTCACTTCAATGGCTGCATGTCACACACGCACATCAACGTTTCTGATGAGCCATTTATCTTCGGCGTACGAGGAAGACTCTCCACATGTCGTCTGAAACGCGCCATAATGTTGTGCGTTTGCTGAATGAACACATATTGTCCGTCTTTACGTTGGCTCTGCTAAAGGTTGGTGAAATGCGCCTGAGATATTGCGGCACAATGTACTTTCTGTGTATTTGCAAGTCAAATCGCAGTGTTACTTTAGTGAAAGGCTTTTGCCATATTCTTCAGCTTTACAACTTTGAAAACTTCCCCAGATCCAGACATTTATACTTCCTGATTTCTCGCATCATCTCTCCAAGATAGTGATAATACGATTTCTGTGTTTTTCGCTGTTGAGAAACAAACTGGATTATGAACAGATCACTACATAAACAGCTTTCTAAAAGGAGGCAGCTATTTTAAAAAAGGCTGAAGAAATGCAAAGAGGGATTTAAATTTTAATTTGAATTTATTCCAGCAAGTGAAAGGTTCTTTTGAGAGGGGATTTCAGCAAAGATGATGGTATTTAAAAGTGATAAACAAGCATCTAAACCTCCAGTGGAAAACAGTCATTTTGCTTCTTTCTAGTGTAGGGGAGGAATTGGGCTTGCTATGGTCACATCCAAAAAATAAGAATAAGTAATAGTAGTAATTAAAATGTAAATAAGCGAGATCCATGGAGATATTTCAACTGATTCCTGTCATAAATTGTGTAATTAACATTTTGTCTTGACACACCTTGTGACTCTGGATGCATAGCTATATGTCCTCAGGTGCAAATTCATGTTCTCTATGTACTTGGCATAGCGTACTTTATACTGTATTGGATGCTTAAAAAAAATCTTTCACACTTATCACATGCAATTTAAATCCTGTGCCTCAACACGACAGAGGAACACCAGGCAAAGTTCAAAATTAAATGCCTTACAAATTAGAATTTGTGTTAATTAGGGATTGTTGTTGTGCAGTTTGAGGCAGTATCTGAAAAAAATCTGGTGATTTTTTCTTTTTTTCTTTTTTTTTTTGCGAGTGAATGATTCACTGTGGGCAGTCACATATCACATTTGTGTGACAAAGAAAGATTAAGCAAGGCTGTCATCTATTATATTTATAATATATATGGATTATAATGCTGTGACTGGATTTCAAGTGATTCCATTCTCTTTTCGATGACCACTGAACTTAAGCAGAGAAACCTATGCCACACAAGAAAGACAAAGAGTTACATCATTTTGTTGAACAGTTAATCCGATCACGGACAGTGTATGTGCATTTGCTATCTTCGGAAAATGCCAGCAAAGGCGCTAAGTAAACCTATTTTACAAGACTCCCTCACAAGGATACAGTGCCAGTATCGGGATAAAATTTCACACAGCGGCATGGCTCAGTCACATAACCTAAGCAGGCTTAGGAAAATGGAACACTACAAAGTACTGCACTTTCTTCCTGTACGTCTGTTGCGGCATACAAAATGCTCAGATGACTGATGTGAGTTTGAGCATGAAAGCCAGAGAGAACTAATGGCTGAATAGCATGTAGATACTGTTGTTAATGCTCTGAGTTGTTTAAAATGGTAGATTATGGAAGTGTGCACCTGGCATTCTGCAGGCTAGCCTGGCAACACTCCTCCCTTATAATTATAATGAACACACAGTAATTCAGGGTTGAGGCTGAAATACGAATGATGTCCTCTGAGACAGCTTGTTTTAATGGTTATGCAGAAGAGTTCCTAGAAGTGCAGATGGCAGATGCAATGCCTTTGAAGCTATTTACAGATTGTACACTACAAGGTATGGAAAGACCCATAGTGTGAGGCCATATTGCTTTTTTTGTGTGTCTGTTCTTGAATTAGACACTAGGCTGGCTCAAAAAGCCTTACTCGAAAGCCTAAGATATATTTTCGAGTGTGTTTACTGCAATTTTGATACCACATTATACTGACAAGTAAGATAGCGTAGTTAGAGAGGGAGAGACGGACGCCCAGCACAGGCTGCATGTGCTCTGTGCTTCATACCCCACTGTTCTTATTTTGTCCACATAGGGGTGCATTTGCTCAGAACTTGGGCTCCTCGTGTACGTTGAAAGCCTCGTTCCAGTTTATTTGTGATGATACGACTCTGTAAGATACTGTAATCCAAAATATTAAATTATCAGAAGGAGTAAACTGAGTATTAATTTCCTTACAGAGGCCGAAGCGCCTCCTCATCAATGTTTTAAATTAAAATAATTAAAGCACAAATAGGAGCATCGTCTAATTTAAGAGTTGAACACGTGTACCTGTTTGCAAATATTCAACCAGTGTATTTGTTTTTTCCTTCTCTTTATGTACGGCATAGTTAATGTATCTCTATCCCTGGCACGCTCCCAAACTCCTATAAAAGAGCGCGGCGCCTTTGAATCGGTCCGCCACTGTGATACAAGAGCAGGTATTGAAACGGCAAAAATGTTAACTCCGAGAAAAAGTTTTGCCGCATTAAAGTCACATAGGAGCCGCATTAGCATGTGAAAAGAATAAACAGGAGCATTCTCAGTTACACACTCCACCTGGCTGCAAACCAACGTCCTTGTCAGAAGTCCACCCACCGCACTGGCTAACACTGAAAGACCTCCTGGGGACCGCAGTGACCATTCACTCGCTTCTCTCTTTTTCCCATGCACCTGTGACTGTTTTTGTGTTTGCTATTTTTTGCTTTGTCTTTTTCTGGCAACACTGTATCATCGGAGACACACTTTCCCTCAAAAGGAATTCTCCTGCCCAACAATGTGGTTTGTTTGTTCACCGGATATGGCAGGCCAGAGAGTCAAATGAAAAAAAAAACACACACACACACACACACACATACACACACACAAAAAAAAAACAAGTCACCACAGTAATAATTAAAATTGCCACAAGAAAAAAAAATAAAAAAAATAAAAAGCTGAGAGGCACGGTAGTATGAATGGACTTGAAATAAGAAAATCAGGTACTTTTACCAACTGGTTTCTTGCCGAGTTGGGGGGCTTCACAGGTGCAGTTGGACAGGCTCTCCTCCTTACTCTCCTCGGACGGCTCATCCGGCTTCTCCATGGTCCTGGACCTTAGAGAGCTGCTTTTCCATTTTCCAAAGGACTTTGCCACAATCGCTTTGTCCGCTCCTTTCATTGTTTTCTGTAAAACACATTTACAGCATGACTTCCCAGGTTTATCCCTCTTGTGAGCCATCTGCCCCCTTTTTTGGCTCTCAATAAACCTGGGCTCATCTTTCCCAAACCCAAAGTAAGAGAGAATTAGGGCATTGTGTGCATATGCATTCTCTTAAGCATTCCAGAAAATTTCCTGATTGCCCTGGCATCTTTTTTAGAGAGCGCTTGGACATTGTTTTTCTCCTGACATTTTGCAATCCTGTGTGGAGAGAGTGCCACTGATTGAAACAGTATAAAACAATACTTTGCAAAGTACCCACACAGTAAACAGTAGATGGAAACGGAAAAAGAAAAAAAAACACAAACATGTTTTCACATTTAATCCAACTTAAAGGAAATAAAAATAGCACATTATGCCCTAATTGAGTGCTGTACCGTCCGCAAATACTGTTACAAGGCCGATCAGGATTAGCAGTGGAACATACCTAGTTATCTATTTCTGAGTGCCAAGACTGCTAGCAGTGGGCAACTAAATTTCAAAAGCTGGCAAATCCAGTTGTCTCCTAAATACAGAAAGTACTTAAATCCAGAGCTAACAGAAGAAAAAGACGGATAAAGGGTGCTCTGCATATCACCGAAAAGCTTGTGCACTTTTCAGAATCACTGGCTAGGTTAAACAAATATGCTAAGTAGAGATCAAAACAATCCTTTGATCTGCAGCCTAGTTTCCAGAGGAATGGCTTGGCTGTTGTTGTAAATAACTTGTATAAATCTATATACCATTTGCCTTCAGGTAATATCAAAAGTGCCAGGGATTCACAGGCAAATACCTTGTGGTTAGGAAATAGATCAGATAAAAGCATATAAATATTTCAGCAACACGGCACCCTGTCATTTCCTGTATTAAAGCCGAGGTTTTTTAACCCCATACGATCGTTTCACTTATTCCGTTCTAGCACGCAGACATGAATGAGGAATATCTGATTACAAAAAAAATGTACTTTCTACCCCTTTCTATTTTGTAGTTAGGAGAAATGTTCCTACCTCCAGCATGCCATTCAGGTCAAACACAATGTAAAACATTGTGCTAAACTTCATACAAAAGAGGCTTGAAGAATCAGAATGCAGAAGCTATGCAACTTGCTGACTAACTTTGCCCTCTGTTTTGATCGGGCACACAAAGAAAAACGCTGTCCATTCAAAACAGACAGCATAACTCTTTTCAGAGAGGGGGGACCGTGAACAAACGAGGCCATGTCCTGAGCTGCAGTCAGTTTCCCGTCAGGCCTGCACAGTGCACGGTGAGGGCCGCAGGGACCGGGACCGGCTGACACCACTCTCACAGGCAACAGAACAACTTTTGTGCACATTATCATCCTCTGGAGCTTTTTCTTTTTTTTCCCCTCGCTCTCTCTTTTATCCTTAAATTGGACAAGTGTGCCTTTTTGGTTTACAGCCTGCTCTACCTCAGTCCCCTTGGTCATGCTTCACAGACACATTGACAATTTTAACAAAGCAATATTTCCACAAAACTAATTTCATAGCAAGAGTCTACTGTTTAAGCAGCTGTATATTAATAATAAAGCACAGCACAAGGCTAACAATGTTATTTCAATTTCAATTAGTCACTTACTGAATAAACATTTTGACCAAAAAACAGAATTATTCTTGTTACCACAGAAAAGACACAGAAACTACATATTAAACAGGATAATAGTTGTGCTAATATAGCTTATGTAATTTTAATACTGTGCTAGTCAGTTGGGGCTAGCTGCTAATTAGCTTACACTGTTTTGCTAACTAGCTAACACAGATAGTTTACTTAAACTTACCTTTGTCAACACAAGACTAGCTGTAACTAAACCATGCCAGATGGATAAAAAAAAACATGACAAAAAGGAACAAAAACAAACAAAATAAACTATTTTTTTGTATCATAGCTAACCAACAGCTAGGCCGCTAGCTCCGAGCTAAACTAGCTAACGTAGATAGTTTACTTAAACTTACCTTTGTCAACACAAGAATGGCTGTAACTAAACCATGCCAGATGGATAAAAGACATGACAAAAAGGAACAAGGCCAAAAACAAACAAAAAAAACAAACTTTTTTTGTATCATAGCTAAAACCAAACAGCTAGGCCGCTAGCTCCGAGCTAAACTAGCTAACGTAGCAGACGATGTTAGCAGACTGAGATGCTTCATTAACTCATGTATCGTCAAAAGTTGGTTAAAAAACGACTGATTTTCAAATTTGGCGGCTTACATGACAACATATTTACGCTTTGAACAAATATTATCTTTACTATTAAAAATACTTTAGTTTTTTTTGCTATGCCGCTGTGCTAACAGGCTACGCTAACCAACAACAAACATGGCTAACAACATGCTAACGTCCAGATCCTTGAACTATTTAGTAAAAGTTGATTTTTTTATAAAACCTTTTTTTTTTTCTTTTTAGAATATTCCTGTCAATTAAAAAAATAATAATGAAAAAATTAACTCCAGTAATGCAGCCTGCTGGTTTGTGGTCGCTCTGTGAAGCCTGGGAATTTGGCAAAACTGTGCTTTTGTAATAATTGGTTTGTAATAATTTACAAGATAAAGTTAATTTGGAAACACTAGCTCAAAATTATTATTTCTAAAATGCCACATTCGTAACATGTCATAATAAAATAATCAGGCTTTCTTTTTTTCTGTTTTGGTGTGTGACTATTGTAGGTTGATTGTGTGTTTCAGGTGCTGTGTGGGTCTGCGTTACCTGCTGCTGACGGCTACATGAAGCCACTATCAAGAATCACAGTGAGATAAATAAAAATTAGACAGGCATGAACCTTCAGGAAGCAAATATTGCATAATTGCATTACTACCAACTATTTTTACACCTGGGGAGAGTTTTAAATCCTCAACAACTCCTGTTAGGTGTTTAAAGGATATCATGGGAGCTTCATCGAGCTCCTCCAGAGTCCTGGAAAAGCAATTTTGAGAGAGAACAGAATGTACCATATTCTTGACCCGTCTGCCTCAGATGCTTGCTGTATATGGAACTGAATACTGGACGTGAATTGTATCATTCTCTGTGTCAACTTGTTAGATGGCAGTTGCTGTAGTGGAGTGGTGAGAGCGGCACATATGCATTATAGGAGAAAATTGTGAAATGACAGATTCCGGGTGTGATACTGAGGGAATGACTAACTAATAGGAGGGGTGCTCCAGGCTGTTAGCTTTGAAAAGCAGTTTGCACATTACTTTATCTTGTCAATCAGATTCCTGGAATGGAAGAGGTGACTGATAACTTGAATTAATTATTTTCTTATTGCATGCATGTGTTAATTCATGTTAATTTATGTCCCTTACAGGCCCAAGCCAGAATATCCAGAGTAAAGCGCCACCTCTGGCACCCAGATCACCACACCACTCTCTTTGCATATATTTATATCAAATGAAAGACTTTTTTTAATCCTGTTGGAACAAGGACTGACTGCCAAATTTGATTTTAAAATGTACTTTTAAGCTGTTCATGGTTTCCGTTCAACAACTGAACAACATGGAGCAGTATTTATGGCTGTGATGGGATTTGAAAGTTACAGATTATTTTTTATAAGCAAATCCCACTCCTTAAATCGCAGCCCTATCCTTAAAGAAGAGGTAAATAATGCAGCATAAGGTCAGCACTAAGAAGGCATACCTTCCGCATTCTCTATTTTTGTATGCGGTAAATTTAATTTATTTTAATGATGGAGTTCATTATACGGAGCCAGGTTTGCATTAATGACGATCGCTGTTCGACTGTGTTCGATCAAAAAAACGCCAGCAGCAGCAGCAGCAGCAGCAGCAGCAGCCATTGTGAGCAATGCACAGAGCACACTTTAAACAATTGCACTTCATTAAACATCTTTAAACATTCTGACAAATTTAACTTCCCCTGAACATAGAGGATAAGAGGAAAAACATTTCTCTGATGAGAACAGAAACAGCAAGAAGTTCTAACAAGGAAAAGCCTGCCAGGTGGCGAACTGGCTGCACCAACAGAACGCACAATCTGTCTGCTTCTCCTTCCAAACCATTGACAGCTGCCATCACCAGCCTTGCACACTCGCACTCAGTGGCTCCTCAGCTCCCTGCCCATCCCTCTTTAGTGTTTCCTGCTAACCTCAGAGACAGGGTCACCTGGCCCCCTAGTTGCCCGTCTGTGGGGCCCTGCTGGCCCCCTGGAGACCTGCCTGCATGGGGATGCATGGCTAACAGAGGTCTAGCAAATCCTCTTTAATATGCAAACCAAGGGGCTCTTCCTTTGACCTGAGACCATAGCTTTTCTAACAGTGAAATCCAAAAATATTCAAGTGATGTACAACGATGAGATTTGATGAACAGTTTTTGATCTGCTGCTTATTTGATATTGCGCATTATCACAGACAAACAGCACCATATTCAGGTTGTCTCCAGTCAGGGAGGACATTTCGGTTTAATCAAAGTCGTGCTGCAAGATGGAAGATTATGTTTCCTCCAGCATGTCTGGGAAAAAAAAAAAAAAAAGCAAATAATAACCCACAGTTTTGCCATTTTTTTGTTAAATTGGAACAGCATTTTTCCACTGGGTAAAACCTAAGCACACAGATGCACAGAGGCTAAAGTGAAGAGTGTTCCACAAAGCTAGCATTGCAACCGGGCTAAAAATAAAACCTGGCAAAGTTATTCTGATCCCTTATTGGTCCCATAGTTTGATTTCACATTTAGCATTTGCATTCCCCTCCGCATAAACATTTCATTCTTCCCCTCCTGCAGTACAATGAGACTTGAGTGACTTTGGCAGCAGATTTTGGATCGGTGCTCCTGAATCCACCAGTGTATGTTATCAGCAGGTAAACAAGCTTTCGAACAAAGCCATAATGGAACTGCAAGCGGCATAAAGAGGCTCATCTCAAAAGCTATACAGCCCATCAAAGCTGGTGTCATTTCCTCAACACTGCACTGCAGCTGGAAAATGCATGGCTGTTAGTTACAGTTTAAATCGCCTGTCTATTTTCAGACACTTCAGAACTATTTGTATTGATTATTTACTTGTCAGTTAAGCAGCCAGATTACCAAAATAAGACAACAGATTTTTAATGTTTACTGGATTCTTCTGCGTTTTGTTCTGTGGTGGGAAATCAAAAAACTGTGTCATGCACTAAATTAAGGGGATTTGCACTATAGGGTATTTGAATAATTATTTTTCCGACTGAAAACGAAATAGTTCTGTCTATATTTGGAAGGATTACCGATGGCATTGAACTTAATGTGAAAATAATTTGCCCTTTAAATACGTAGTTAAGCTATATCCTACACTTTTTTTTTTTTGCTCACCAGATGCAATCTTGTTAACCACACGCCTGGATGCTTGTCACCAAACTTTCCACACATTTGCCTTTTGGGTACAGCTCAGGCGCACAAGTAAACCTACGCACTCTCCTCCCAGTGAGTGGAGAAGCCTCAAAGCTTTCCTTTCATATGCTGCATTATCTCTATGGCGGTAATTATCCATAAAACTATGCCATCAGATGGTTATGATTTCCAATATGAACCCAATAAATGTGTTTAAATTTTGAATTATCATATTTATGTGGATATGTGTTACTAATAGTGATTATGTTTGTCATGTGGGTAGAAAATCAAGCGTCCTTATATTGCGCATTCTCACATATTTCTCAGACATTTCATCACACATTTAATCTGCCCCTGTCTAAGATTTCCTGCTGAACCTGTAGTCAAGGCAGAGAGGGGACAATACCGGATGAGATTATGAAGCATGTCTGTTAAAGCATGTCTGTTTGATCATCATTCTGTTTAGGTGAAGTTCTCCACTTGGTCTCTTCAGTCCCTGACAGCAGATATATAACCTAATCTCTTTCCCTAACCCTTTTCTTAGGAATGAATGGGGTGGAAATGTGATGGCATTAAGTCGATTTACTCCTTGGTTTGCAGTTTCAGCCTTAATGCCTCTTGGCTCTTCTTCAACACACTCGTTCCATTTAGATTTCAAAAATATAACTGTTATGTTAAGGCTTTCCTATTTATTTTTCATTTATCCATCATTTGAAGTTCATGCATATATTTGCTCTACAAATAATGCTTGTTTATTTGCGGCGCCATCTATCTGGAATAGTGTCGGAGATATTGGGGAGAATCAAATGCAACTTGTGCATTATCTTCAAATGGGGAATGTATCAGCGACAAAGGGCCAGATCTCAGACCGCACGCCGCTCTTTGTGACTCGTCGTTGACGTGGTTTTGATATTTCACATTTACTCGTCTAAACCTTAATTTAGTGCAGCCAGCATATGTTGACGTGCGAAGAAAAGCTATTATCGTGTGTCTTTGAATTGCGGCTGATGGCATTTGAAAGCTGCATTAACAGACCTGTCCTTGTGCAATTACTGGATCTCTGCTTCTGCGCATAAAAACTTCCTGTTAACTTTTTTTCTTTGTTGTTGTTGCATGATAGTAATAAAAGAGCATTAAAATATATATTGCTACTAGATCATTTTAATTCTATTGTGTGCAAGTGTTTTTAATTTCACTGTTAATTAAACATTTGCTCAGAGGAAACATGAGCTTTTTAAATGTCCTCATGAGTTGCAAAATGATTGTTTATTTTATATTTATAGTTTTATTATGGATTAAAACAGATTCTTACTGTAAACCATCAGAACACCTGATTTAATAAACGCCTAAATCACTTTTAAAATCAGTTTACTTCTAATAAAAATGCTTTTAAATAACTTTACTCAGCTGTACTCGTGTGTGTTCATACATGCACGCAGATATGTAAATAGGCGACACGTCACAAAACAAAAACAAAGATTCCTGCGACATCACAAGTTGCGACGCGCGCCGCTTAACAACAGCCAATTTCACGATTGGGAACCGAACACAAGTAGTCAAATATTGCAGAAAGAAGTCTGACAGCAAGTCAAAGGCGGTTTTAATGGTGGAACTAGCAAGAGACTACACATGGCAATGTTAAATCCCATTCAGCCTGATGAGAGTGACTCCCAGCAGCACTGAGCTCAGTGGGGGGTTGTAAACATTTACACTAAGAGCCTGTCCAGTGCACATGGTTGGTGCTTGCCAGCCACCTCGGTATCGAATGTTGTGTTGCATATTTTGTCATTCAGGCCTGTCCCGAAATTGTAGGAATCACACCATCAATTTATGAAGGAGCCATCCAAATGTGACAACAGGCTTATGCTAAATGGAGAAAATAGAGCTAAACATTGTTAAAACACCCCTAGACCCACATGGTAGAGAGTGCTCGGCGGAGAGCTGCTATGCTCCCCGCTGTGAACTGGGAAAGTGATGTTGGTGGGCTTCCTTCTCCATGAGGGCCGCATCGTTCTTGGGCCCCGATTTGAAGCCTTTTTGAAGTCTGTTTTCTGCAGCAGTGTGCCAACATTAATGTTTCCACAAAAGCAAAAATGCTAAATCAAATGAATACACTATACTGTGCTATTCCACGTTGACTCCTGAATCCCCTAGAAAATTATAAAAGCATCATTATGAAAGCTATTTACTCTATATGCCCTAAAAGCTTGTGTGTGTGTTTTTTTTTGTTTTTGTTCTCATACGAAATAGCCAGAATAATGTCTTTTTTTTTTTTTTTTTTTCATTAATACAGAAAATGTTGACAGGCAGCAGGTGAACAAGTCTTGGGGAAAATAAGCAATTCTGCTGCTGTAATAAACAAGTTTGTGTCCATGAAGCAGGAAACATGTAAAACCTGTTAATGAGCATTATAAGGCTGAGCCCAGGAACACTGCTTCCATTTCTTAGGATCGAACATCATTCCTAAATTTAAAAATAATAATAATAATACAATTGGTCATTAAAATCATGCGAATGCGTTTGAGATCAATCCTTTATTGTTTCAAAACTCTATCTTTTACAATACAGTCATTTATTGTTACATGTGATTCGATGGGTAATATACAATGTCGTCCGATAATGAAACACAGTCACAAAGAGTTCCTTTCTACATATCAATATTCTATGATAGTGAGAAGTTTGTGCTGATATATTTACTTAGTTCTGACAGCTCAATTAACTTCCCTTTTCAAATCAACAAAAGCATCGTTTTTGAAAGTGCATTTCAAGGATTGCAAAGACGACTGTTTCCGTCAGTCAGTCATAATGTACATTTTTCAGTATTGACGGAGGGCCATACTGCTCTGTGAGTAACAAACAGCATTAACTACGTTTCCAACTACAACATTTATCTGGATAAGTAAATCAAAGAAAACATATCAATATGCATGCCATGAACATTCCTCCATAAACATTTATAATAAATGTATATTTTTATTTAATTATGTTGATAATGACACAGTATTTTCCACAAAAGGACAAATGCTGATAATGAGAACTAATATTTAACATCCAAATTTTGTTCAATTTCACACACAGGTCAGATGGCGTAATGCCACAGTGTGGAGGGCGGCGCCCCACCAGGGTTAATAGCGTTTGGTCCACAATAACAAATCTGGGTTGAAAAGAAAACAAAAGTGTGATAGCAGGTGGGAGTTTGAACTGAAACATAAAATAGCATGATGATGATTTTAATTCTTTCCATTTTTAAGGTCTTTCGATTTTCAAGTTATGAATTATGATGTGAAGTTTCTGTTCAAAAATTAAACAATATAAATATACATTTTAGCTCATTACTTGGCTATTATACTTTTCTGTTCCACGGAACAGCTTTCACTCTGTAGAACTTGGTTCCTAAAGGAACCTTGAACCTGTTCTGGGCCTGGAAAAGAAAAAGGAGAAAACAAAGAGAGAGAAATAAGATTCAGACTGTTTGTATTATTACTCACATAACTAAAGCTGACTTGCTAGAATAAAATAAAAAAATCCTCACTCAGTATTATAGAAAAATCTAATTAAAACAAGACTTCCAGGCCAAACTGTGTGTACAGAACAAAATCACTTATTTACTTAAATATCTATATATCTGAATACATGAGATAAAAACAGTGTAGAACTTGGAGGTACCTTTTTTGCCTGACAGTATTCCTTCTCCATCACCTTTCCAAGTACCCACGGCCGTCTTGAGGTCCCTGATGCTAAACAACAAAACAAATCAGCTCGTTAGGCAGCGATCGCTCCGGAAACCGACACTAAATAATTGTGTGTGCAACATAAAGCTTATCAAGAAGCAGCAGCATTAAATAAAAGACAGATCAGACATTATTTAAGGACCCATGTACAGACTGTATTCTGTTATTTTATAAATCCATTCATAACATAAAATCTAACAGGTCACTGTCACTGATGCCTCTTTTTAAAATTTATTATTATTATTATGATGATATTAGTAAATGATAAAACAAAGCCCGACACTACAGTTCTCATCTTGATCTGTGGAGGCTCGGTGAGGCTGACCTGGTTTGAGGTCCAGTGCAGTGAGAGACTCTGAGTGGAGGAAGTAGAGGGTGGGACCGACTGTGAACAGCACGTAGTTGTCATGCCTTTCATCCAGGATGATTAGAACCAAATCGCCTACCTGGAAACTGAAACATCAAAAGACAGGCAGAGACAAAAGGCACGATGACACCGAGTTCTGCAAACTGATAACCAAAATGAAAACACATTAATGGTAATTATATAATAATGTGTATAATTATACCGAACCTAATGACGACTTTCAGCTGCTAATAAAAATGCTAGAAATCGCATCAGCAACAGCCCGTTAAGGCCCTGTGTAATTTTATATTCACTTACTCTCTGATGGCGATTTTGTCTGAATGCCGTGACGACACAGACGACATGCTCTGAGACATCTACAAAGAGAAGGATTAGGGCAATGTGACTCATGTTACACACAAGAGTTAACAGTATTGACGACAACTGACTTTCCATGGGACTTATTCTAACGTTTGTGTGACTGGGGATTTGTAAATTACAGGTTTGGTAATTAGTATAATTACCTTTACCCACTGACAGCGTTATATTAAAATCTAACCCAAGCTGCACCGCTCTCTGTGAATCGGGGTCGACTAAAAGAACTTTTCAATGCACAGCAGTAGATTGTTAACATTTATATTAATATATACGTTTATGCCTCGCTAACATTCATCACTTTGCACATTCTAATGACACTCTTGGTTAAAAAGCTCATGTCTTCTTTGGCCTCCTATGTCAGGATTTTACTCTTTGATGCTACTGCCACCTAGTGGAGCAGATGTTACATAGCCCAGAGTGATGATTAACTGACCAGTCTTTGACTGAGGCGCTTGTTTTCTTCTTCCTTCATGTGTAAAGTCTGAAACATATTAGATGGATTAAACAGATAGAGACACACAACAGCATACTTTTGTGTTCTGTTAAATTCAACCACATGGATGCAGTGCGTATATTTACCCGCTCGAGTAAGATTATCCGCTGTTTCTCCTCTGACATCAAATGATCACTACGACAACAAAACACACAAACTGTCAACTGTGTTCAGTGTACAAAAGGTAAAGCTCATTAAAATGTTAGGACAGCTGAAGGATTTGGTCTGAGGACAGGTTTTAATGGTAATAAAAGAAAACTTACACTGTCTGATCCTAGCCTGCCTCTCCTCCACTGTCAAATGTCCCTGTTGTCCATCCACAGTTTACACAATAGATTCCTTCTTCGATAGCGCAAAGGTCTGTTTCTGTGGCTGGCGATCGGTTACGTAAAATCCTAACAAACTCTACACTGTATATAAACGGAGCTTCTTTCAAAGCTGCTCAGCTACAGATGAGTTTCAGACCAACACGCTGAGAAAACAAAATCCAAGTGTGGCACAAAAATGAAAAGAAAGTGGAAAAGCATCTCAGATACTTGCCTGAAAATATTTAAACTGGGAAACTAAAACCCTAATAATTCAGATGACACAGTTTCACCTGTAAAATCCACATAAGTGAAGAAAGACTGTGTGCTTCAGTTGTCCTCTCTGTTTACTGTCAAAATGCTTTGACCTAGAACATCTCTTTTGGCTTTAAAAGCATGCACCGGCTCTGCTAAATAGGTTTCTTATATAACATTTACCACACTTATAACACAGGCCTCAGGCAGCTTGACACAATGCATGTAAATGTGCTGCTCCTCCCGGTGACTTGGTTGCGTGTGCATGTAAACACGGAACCGTAAATGACATAATGCCACATATCTCACACTGTAAACAACACGAGGTTTATTGTGGAGTAGACGCTTACTGGACTGTCACCATGCTGGCTTCCACTGCTGAATCAACATGTTCGTCGTCTCGAATGGCTGCCACGGAGGCCAGTCTGTCAGCGTCAGCCAGGGGCTCAGAAGAACAAGCCCCAGAAAGAGGCAGAGCTCTGGCTGTGGCTCCGGCCTCTGTGACCTCGTGAGCCGAGGGGTTTGTGGCGAAGAAGGCGGAGGAGACCAGCGCCGTGCTGCGCAGGCGGTTAAGTTCTTCTTCCAAGTGTTTCTTTTCCTGCATCACACTCGCCCGGTCCTCAGACAGCGTTTCTATCAGAGCTGCGATACATTAAGACAAATAAGAGACGCTGACAGACACAACATGGCCGTACACACACATCCTAAAAGCTTAGAGATGGAAGAACACAGCAGTCAGTGGTCAGGGACAGGATAACTGCTGAATGTCTGCTGCAATACTGAAATGTTTTTTCCACCTCCTCTATGAGTAACATGCTCTAAAATACAAGCTGCACCACTGGTTACTAGACATGTTTAAACGGACACCAAAAATAGATATTAGACATTTTTTTATTTTAGTTATTTTTTTGGCCTTTGTTGGTTTGTTTGGTCGTGTAGTGAGAGGGAGGTGGGGGAGTGGGGTGGGGGGATGGGGTGTGGGCATGTGTGATGGGGTGGTTTGGGGGTTTTGACCTCCTGATTTGGACTTTGGGCCTGTACATGGGACGCCAGCTCAACCATGTGAGCTATAGCAGTGCCCCAGATATTAGACATTTTTAAAAGAAAACACAAACCCTTACCTTTGTCTTTCTCTTGCTGCTGAGTAACTTTCCGCAACTTGTCCGTGAGCTCGTTGATGATCTGCTCCTTCTTCAGCTTTTCTCGGGTCAGAACAGTGTTGAAATTTGTCTGGACAAAGAATGATAGTTTTTTAAAATTTTAACAAGCTAAAGAGCCACTTTGATGACAACACAAGTGTTCTGTCAGAGCACAAACTGTTTCAGAGGCCTTTTGACTGCTAAGGATGTATTGTGTTAGTCTTTGTCTAATCGCTTCACTGACAATAAAAACACTAAAATCTCTTTTATTAATAACAGGTAGCTAAATTAGGCGTCTTTTGTGCAGAACACCAGTCTTACCAGATTAACCTGTGAAGGGGAAGCACCAGAGAAAAGTCTGATGCAGAGTGAACACTGTAAACACTAAGTGATGTCATATAAATCATACGGTAAAGAGGAAAAACCTTCCTGCTCTCCCTTTAGTGTAAACCAGGGGTCTCGAACTCCGGTCCTCGAGGGCCGCAATCCTGCAAGTTTTAGATGTTTCTCTCTTCCAACACACCTGATTCAAATGTTCAGCTCATCATCAAGCTCTGCAGAAGCCTGATAACGATCCTGATCATTTGAATCAGGTGTGTTGGAAGAGGGACACATCAAAAACTTGCAGGATTGCGGCCCTCGAGGACCGGAGTTCGAGACCCCTGGTGTAAACTGATCAGACAGACTAAGATTAAGGCCAGCACTGAAACAAAACATCTGCTGAACACCTGGATTAAAAGTCTGACCTGTAGAGATGCAAGACTTAAAATAAATGAAACTGTGCAGTAATCAATAAAAATTAAATGTCTGGCAGGCTGCTCACTTACTGAAGCTATGAAGGAGGTTTGCACCAGAGGAACGCACACAGATCTATGTAAACACTAAGTGGCCTCGTCTGAATCACAGTGAAGACTTTCTTTGGTGTAAAGAGATCAGACGGACCCAGATTAGGGTCGGCACTGAAAACACAGATTTGCTGGATAAATTAATTAAAAGATTGAATTTTAGAGGTGCAAGGCTCGACTTAAAATTAAATTAAACTGTCTGGGCAACTGTTAAAACTGTAATGTTTGGCTGAGTCAGTCCTCAGCGTTGAACCGCTTGGTTTAACGTTCACCACACGGCGCCTGAATGCAGCGAGAAAAGGCTTCACATCTCACTGCATACAGTCTGGTTGTTTGGCTAAAATAAAAGTCAACATGTGGCCTACTTATGAAGGTTAAAGAGGTGCTGGTTTAACTTTACAGGAGGCTGTTGTTGATGGAACTCCTGATAAGAGTGTGTGAACAAAGCAAACTGCTGTGTCTGATGTATGCTTAACTAATTAACTGCCATTATTAGGAACAATGATCTGTTGTAATTTGCACTGAAATTAAATAAAGGTTTAGCGAAAACGACACATCAACATCCCAAGCACGGCCGGCGCCTTGAAATCTCGCTCACAGCCCAAACACAAACCTGCTGTTCTGCGATTAGAGATGTCTTGAGGTTCTGTATCTCCTCGTCCTTCTTCTTCTCCAGGAGCTCCATCTGTGTCTGCAGGGAGGCCCTCTCCTGCTGCAGGCGCTCTTGTAGCGCCGAGTCCAGAGACAGAGGTGCTCCGGCATCTGCACGGCCCTCAGCGTGCAGCGACAGCCCTTCGTCACTGAAAGGCACACAGCAAGCGTTCATTCTGACAGAGGAATTATGTGATCACGCTGCGCAAACACAGGTAGCGACAAAAAATAGACAATAGATGATTCACATATCTAACCCTAGACTTTCCTACAGTATGCAGCTCTAAACGTAAGCCGATGAGGTCTGGGAAAACCGTCAACCACAGTCAGGCTTTGCAACGTGAACAAAAGATGGACCAAAGCTTGATTTGTATTTGTGATATTTTTGTCACCAAAGTAAAAAAAAAATCACCTTTTTGCAGATTGTCTCTCATGAAGCTCGTTCTCAAGTTGTCTAATTCTGTCTGAGAGTCTTTTCTCCATCTCCTCCTTCTGCTGCTCCAACTCTTTAAAGGCATCTGGTGTTCCAGCCTTAGCGGCCTCCTCTTTTTCAGCTGCATGTCTGTCCTGCTCCAGTTTTTTGGAGAGCAGGTCATTTTCTGCCTGCAAACTGCTGATAACAGTCCTCAGCTCCTGCTCCAGCTCTTGGAAACTCCTCAACTGTGTTTCTTTTTCTTCACTTAGTGCAGCCACTTTCTGATCTAATTCTTCGGTAACTTTCTGCTGCTGCTCGGCGTGGTTCTTCTCCGCTTCCTGGGCTTGCTGTTGCAGAGAGGAGAGCTTGTTGCGCAACAAAATGGTCTCCTCGTCGTGCCTGTCCACCAGCTCTGAAATGCAGTGGTCCTTCTCAATCCTCATGAGAGTCCTCAGCTCTGCCAGATCCACTTCATACTCCTCGTTTTTTGCATGAAGCGTTCTTTTGATGTCTGCGAGCTCTTCACTCAGAACTTTGGTCTCTGCCTCCACCTGGGACTTCACAGCCTCAGTCTGCTGCATCTTGGCTTCTTCCAGTAACAGCTTCACCTCTTCGGTCTCTGACTCTTTGAGGGCTAGCTCCACCTCTAGTTTGCATCGCAGTTCTGCAAGCTGAGTAATCCGAGCCTCCAGGTCCTTCACTTGGTCGTCCTTCTCTCTAATAGCAGTGGCATGGTGATCAGCTGCCTCGCTGATCTTTGCACTATTTTCAGCAGCAAGATGTTTCAGAGCTTCCTGGTTATCCTTGGTCAGGGACTCCAGCTCTGCCTTGTGTTCCTGCTTCAGTCTGTCCTCCAACTCCTTCAGATGGCTCTGTCCAACAGCTTCCAGCTCCTGACGGATCTTCTGCTGACTACGTTCAATCTCAAAGTGCAGATTCTCAAGCTGGCCGGTCAAAGAGTCCCTTGAAGCTGACAGCATCTTGATCTCTTCGGTTTGGTCGCTGATAATCTGCTCCAGGTTTTTGATCCTGTCAGTCTGATTACTCTCCACTTCAACCCATCGTTCCTTCTCACTTTCATACTGAGTGAGTTCCTTCTCTTTGCGCTCCATCAGCCCCTCCAGCTCCAACATTGCACGCTGAACATCTCTGACAATGTTCTGGTTTACTTGGTTTTCCTCTGTTAGTGTCTGAACCTGCTTCTCGAGCTCCTGCCGAAGGGTCAGAAGCTCACTTTGGTGCTGCTCCTTTAATTCCAGTTCATGGGTCTGGCAGATGCTGTCCACAACGTTGTGCACCTCTGTGCTCATACTCTGCAGAACAAAGCCAAAGTCGTGTTGTTCTTTTAATACTAGACCTCGTAAGTGACACAGGTCGTCTTTTACACTTCTTAAGTTGGAATGGGACTCCTCTGCAGCACATCGATACTTCTCAATGACTTGTTTGAGGACAGTGATCCTTGAGTTCTCCCTCTCGAGTATGGTGGTATCCTGCATTCGCTTGCTGTCAATGGCATTGATGACGGAGGAGTACAGTGACTCCACCATCATTTCAGGGCTTGTGGGGTCACTGATAAGGTTCGGAGAGGTCAAGTTCTCTTCAATCACAAACTCATTGACAGCAGACATGAAGTCAGACTCGGGGCTCTCTGCTAGAGAATCTAGATCAAGGGATCCTTGCTGCAGGACTGGATCCATATTCGGGTGGCCGATAGTTTCAAAGTCAAACGTTTGTGCATCAATACTGTCTGGGGATAAGTCCTCGAGAGGAGCAGGGACGGGAACATGTAGAGGCTGGCAGCTGGGTCCCTGAAGGCTAAGAGAGGGAGGCGTTTTGGAGGACGACGGCGTCGTGGTCCCAGGTATGCTGTCAGACGGCGGAGTAAACGCAGCTGATCTCTGGGCATACTGACTACAAGATGCCTAGAAAGACAGAGCAGAGCAACATGAGCGACCAAACAAATACATCATCCAGCCTGGAGTTTAATCTCAAAATAACTGAGGAAAAACTAAAATTACCCGACATATAATAACCACTCTGGGTTTGAGTTGAGCCCAAATGACGACTGCTTTGACAGTCAACAGAAACAAACCTGACAAAGGAAACCCTCAGCATAACTTCTGGTTCTATGAAAGCTGTCATTTGAGTTTTGTTTTTGTTTTCTGCCACAATTGCAAAGAATTGTGTTTGATATATATTTAAAAAAAGGGTAGTAAATGAGGATGTCCTTACCCTTTGTTCACTGAGCAGGTCAGTTATAGTTTGAGACATCTCGTCCACACTCTGCGCGGCTTGGACCAGCTGGTGAAGCGCCCCGACATGACGATTCAAGGGCTCAAAGTCACACATGGTGGGGACCCTGCAGAACATAAACACATTAGGAATACAAGAAAACAACAATAAAAAACCCTGTTGTGATGTTTTTTGTACAAGCCGGCTACAATTCAGGTTTTATTATTCTATTAGGAGACACTGGGTTGACTTCAGGCCAGTTTTTACACGACAAGATCAGATTCCTGCTGCACTCAGGCCTTTAATACTGAACTAATCAAATGCTTTCCAAATACATCTATTTAAATTGGGTTTATGTCACAGGCCAGTTTCTATGTAAAACCATGTAAATGATTTGAGGACGGTATCTTACATAAGGAAAGGCTGCACCTCGACAGGACAACAAGATTTCAAGTACTGGAGATCCTCGAGTGAAATGTCTGGGAGTTCATCGTCAAACCTTCTGGGCTTTCGTGTCTAAAGAATAAATAATAAAGAACAGAGAGAGAACAGACCGAATAAAACACTGTGAAAACACTGACAGATGTGATAACACAATCTTCCTCAAACAGTCACACAACTTACACAAAACGATGTTGGAGGCCACGAATCGAGTCCTCTGAACAACCGGTTTCGGAGGAAAGACTTTCCTGAAAAACAAAAAAAATAAATGGATCAAAACTCTGATCTAAAGAGTTATTTCAAACCCACATTTTGTTTTACTGCAATGCCTAAAATGTCATCACCTGGGTCTTTCGAAGAACACTTACTAAAGAGTTTCCCAAAGGATTCCCTTTTGAACTTCTCTGCCTCGTACAGCCGCTTCCCGTCCTTCACGAGTGCATAGGCCCACTGAAAGGAGGACCGAAATTAGTCAACTTAAAGTCACACAATAATCGTTGTTTCCCTCAAAATCTGCTGTCATGAGTTATTGACAGTCCTTAGCATGGTCTGTAATGTTATTTCAATTCCAAATAAAGAAATCTAGACTCAAGAGAACATTTTTAGAGACACTTTTGAAAAAAAATAGAAAGGGAACGCAAAGAAAAAACCCTCGAATCAGCTGACAGAGGACAAATACGAGCAAAACCAATTCAGTTATTAGCGTCCAACTTTTCCCACGCTTTGAGTGTATTCAGACACAGCAACACAAAAAAGAAAGACTGTAGGCTCTATCAGCTGGGGCTAATATGTACCCAGCTGCTGCCGGCAACAACTCAAAGCGCTGATAAAGTTTTCTGCACTGTGCTGCTGCAATGGGAGCAGCCACCAATTTCAAAACCAAACACTACACCTCTAGTCCTTCGTGTGGTTGTGTAGTACGATGTTCCCCCAAAACACAAATGGAAGACAAAGAAAAATGACCTTAAAATGAATTAAATCCACCTAATTAGAGCTGAATACGAGCTCTGTGCTGAACATGCCCTTAGGTTTCACATTAAGAGTCGTAGAAGAGCTTCTGCCTTTGTATCACTAATACTGAATGCATGGTTTGTGTCCAGTACAGCATTCAGCACTGACCTCTCTGTAGTGGCGCATGAACATTTTTCTTCTGACGACTTCCACGACTGCCAAGCAGTACATCTGGGGCACAGTGCTGAGGGCCTCCACCACCCTCACTCTCTCTATTAGCTCTGTCAGAAGTCTGAGCAGAGCCTGAAGCTTCTCCCCGTCCTGGTCTGCATGAAGCATCACGTAGCAGCACCATCTAAAATCACCAACACCATTAAAATTGCAAACATGACTTAACAACAGCAAGACTGCATTCAATAGAGGAAGCTACAATCAGGGTACGTATCAGAGAAGAAGTGGTTTTCAGCCGTACTTGAGTCTGACTTGAAGGTTGTTTGCAAGTTCTTGTTTGGCAGTGGTGCACTTCTTTTTAATGTCTAGCAGCTTCCTGTGGTTGTTCAGCATGATCATCAGCTGGTTGGTGTGACTCAGACACAAGTCAGGCAGAACAGACGTGTCCTTCAGGTTTTCAGCCCGCTTCTGATTAGCCAGAAATCCCTGCGAGCAATGACATGTCAACACGACGTGTAAAAAGATGGACAATGGAGGACATCGTTTAGGAGTATTTATCTTCACATACCTGAGCGAGTTCCTTCTGTTCGTTCACCAACTTCTTGCAGCTTGCAATCATTTGGTCAAGAGCATACAACCGGTCCTCGAGCCCTTTGATGGCTTTCATGTTTTGATTATCTAGCTTGGCAATTGTGTCGCGACAATCTGCCAGGAAGGGCTGAATGATCCGTGGGTCAAGCTGAAAGACACAAGATCTCAATGAAGCCACATATAGTCGCCATAATTTGTAGCGGCTCATTGAGAACATCACTCTGACGTGTCTATTCATACATCAGTGACTCACCCTATTGATGGAGTCAAAGCATTTCCTCACAACGGATTCCACATCATTGGGTCTGTCTTGTACGTTGATCCAGTCTAATAGTGTCACATTGAATGAAGACGGGTTGGTGAGCTCGGGAGTGTCATCGTCTAGTAGCGCCGCTCTCAGCCCACCGCTGTCAGTCATTTCATTCGTTTCCTGGTCTCCAGCTGGCTCACATGTGGCTGCGCCCGAAGCAGAGAAGGATGCTGATAACTTGGAGGCCATCTGTGCTTCACCAGTGCAGAGCACAGAGTCGGTGGATTTCTCTCCCTCTGTCCCGTCCGAGTCCTTTTCTGGGGTTGAACTGGACTTCTCCATGCTCTCTCTGTAGCTGTGTCGTGTCAAACATTCCAGCAGAGGTATCCTGGCCATGACAGAAACCGCTGTGCCCAACCTGCAATCATAACAGAACGCTAACTGTGACTTCAGTTTCAATGTTTTGGTTTTTTTTTGTAGAAAAATCTTACTTGCTTTCTTTACGAGTATTTTAGAGTGTGATGAAGAAAGTCAGTTTCCTTTATTTTGATGGTCACAGACCCCTGATTTCCTCCCCTGTTGCCATGTGTTTTCCCATCACCTTTTGTCATGTGTTTTCCCACCTCCTGTCACAGACACCCGATTCCACCCCCTGTTGTTCATTGTCCCCCCACCTCCTGCCATTTGATTAGCAACTGTATGCTATCAGAACCCCGACTCCACCACCCGTCTGGTCACCAGACTCCGATTTCATCACCTATGGTTCATTGCCCCCCTCCCCCTTACCTCTGGTCATTTGATGAGCAACTGTATGTTAATTTGCTTCTATTCACTTCTGTATTTACATACAGGCCCCCCTCTACCCTCTGACTTACCCTATAAATGTGTGACTCTGGAGATGTTCAGGGTCAGTCCACCTTCACAGACTCATGCTCTGTGTTGGTGAGCCCACCGTATACCGGAATACTAATAAACACCCACTACAGCAAACTTCACATGAGGACTATGAGTACAATTTCTTCAACATGTGTAAAAGACTAAAGACTACGACTAAATTGTTTGTTATGCTAAAGAAATACAGCAGTTTCACATTCACACCTACTGGACAGGACCAGAAAGGTGCCGAGTATCACATCCCCAGCAGCAACACTTACTTTGAAAGTTTAACTTTAATTTCCTCCAAATCGCGTTGATAATTCGTGTATGCGGTGTTGAATTTCATGAGCAACTTCTGATAAGACAGAGTGCAGTCGTCCAGATTCGCCATAATAGCAGCCCAGCCTTGGTGCTGAAGGTGTTCATCGTGAACCAAACGTTCACAGAAGGAGCAAAGTTTGTTGGCAACTTCAAACATTTCCTGGAGAGGTTAAAAAAAGAGATGTCAAAATGTCAAAGTCAGAGCAAGTTAATAGGAGTTAGATAATAATAGACTAGTTACAATGATTTCACATTGTACATGAGATATGTATCATTGAAATGGACTTTAGCAAAGGTCCCAGACCCCGATACTCACCAGAGCAAGTTGTGTTCGCGAGGCAACAGTGTGAAAGACGGCTGGCATCAGTAGAGACTCCTCCACCTTAACCTGAATCTCACTCTCAATCGAGAAGGTGGTTTTGGGGATCGTTGGATCCCGGTCACACAAGATCATCTCTTTGTTGAACAGGAATATCGGGTTGGTTTCCTAAAGATCAACAGCAAGACAACAGTAATCACAACCTTACAGATGCTTCAAAGAGAATAAGAAGCATGAGAACAGACTGTGTAAACTCACAGTGCCAGCACTGTAGCTGCAGACTCGTCTCTCTGCAGCCATACATTCCCCTCCATTGACAACAAGGACTTGATGTTGAATTGCAATCTTGTATTTGGCTTGGATGGCATGTTTGAGCTCCAGCACACTGACACAAAGGAAACATGTCTTTAAGTCACGATAAACAGCAATCCCTGAACCACCATTTGTAATTAACATGGGTAAAAGAGCATGTCCTTACGTTTGGACAGCAAGGTCGGTGTCAAATGTCAGCGTGCTGCCATTGTTGACCTGGAACACATACAACTTCATGTTGAATCTCCCAGAGTTCTTCGCACTTGCCGGTCTTGTTCATTTAGTCACTCGCCAACCCCCTGCCATGGGAAAGAACACACAGCAACATGAACACGATATCTGATGATTAAATCTTTCCTGTTGTCATTAAATAAGCTCTAGTAGGAGGTGATGCAGCCATTTACTTAAAGCACAAAGATATCAGATTACTGCTAATGTAAGGTTGTTAAACACAGGCTATAATTACGTGTAAAGGTGGTATTATCACAGTCTGCTTCTTGAGGTTTCTTTGAGATTTAGATTTATACCTTTGTAAATTCTTGTCTGTTGACTAATGAGCCAAGTAGCTGAGTCACCATGTGGTTGGGTTAGGACACTGTCAAGTAGTTGATAGTCAAGTATTCACCTAATATGTCTAATTCATGAAAAAAACACAACAATCGGTCTCCTGAAGCTGCCTCAAGGAGTAGATAGTTCACATTGGTTGACGTTTAACTGCACAACGGCAAGGCAGAAGGCTTTACTGAGGAAAAAGCCAAGTAAAAGATCTAACAAAAGCGCTAACTTACCACTACCTGTTAGCTGCCGTGCGCGTGACAATATAAAAAGGCTCACCTGCTAGGTCGGACTGGGAACGTTGGTTTGCTAATTGCCGTAAATAATGTTAGCTGTACGAACGTCTGCGGCTCTCTCAGCTCTCACGTTTAGCCCAGTACGGATGTTTGTAGTTTCTGTTTTTAGGACTGACCACACTCAGCCGTTTTTATTAACCTCGAGGCCCTCTATTTAGTCATGATTGTGGTGCCAAAGAAGTGGCCAACAGTAGCTGCTAGCAGGCTAGCTAGTCAATAATAACCCGCTAACTGGCTATTAGCTAAAACAGCTGTTCGGCTAGCGCAGGGTAGCATTTTCTAACGTCGATGGATTTGACAAATGTAATACCATTAGCTGCAATAGTCAGCGTCCCTTGTTTAAACGTGCATTAGCACAAGGATTGGATTTTTCACAGAATCAATAAAACTAACGATTTCCTTGGTCTTACCTCACTTTGCTCGCATCTCCCTGTTCTTGGTCTAGGTCCTCGCCTAGGCGACTTGGCTAGCTAACAAGCTAGCACCCAAGCTAGCTAGCTAACCTGTTTTAGCTTGGCATACATAGAGCTAGCTTAGCAAGCGCCTTAGCTAACGTTAGCCAGACGAGACTAGATTAGACAAGAATTACTGACAGTCATGATTAATTGCACAGAATACGCATACTCCAGTAAAGCAAACGTCCAATTTGGCAAACTCCAACCGCGATGGTGTAACACACGGACTGAACCACCAGTTGTTTATCTCAGGTAGCTAACTACGCTAGCAGCCTCTCAGTAGCTCTGGCTGTTTTGTTGTTGTCATCTGCTGATGTGCAGTCCGCGAACGATCGACTCAACAGACACCCAACGGACAGCCCAGCAGAGCTACTTGCAAACGAGGCTAACTCACCTCTTCAAGGTGTTTTTGACACTTTTATCAAACTTTTATGTCAAATTAACACCCGTATGCAGGATTAAAATGTTTGTTTATTTCAGCTGGCTATGTTGAAGTTAAAAAATATAGATATAAATTAAATTAAATGGGCTTTTGCTGCCACTACTTTGTTTTATTACTTGTGTAATTTTCCATTTGAATGTTATTGTCACAAACGAATTGTAATTTTTTTTGCTTTTCTGCTTCTTTCTTTGTCTTTATTAAGGCTTAATTAAAGCATGATCTGTTAAACTTTGTTTTAAAATGTTTGTTTTTACACTTTTCTTTTTCTTTATTTCTCTTCTTTTTTTTGCTTGCTTTTAGCACTAACATGACCAACAAAAATACTTTCAGAATAAAGCTGGTTTCCTAAAAAATAATCGGAGCTAGAAGCTGATAGGAGCATTTTTTCCCCCATGCTGGTTTTTTTGTAGCGTTTTTCTCTTTAATTGATCATTTTTCTGTTGCTAAGAAGACATCATGTAAGTGGAATCAATAATGTAAATAAATACATGAAAGATGTCAACAATGTGGTTCAAAAAATTACGCTCCTAGACCAGAGTTAAATTTCCCATCAGCGTTTGCGTTCGTCACTGTACTTTTCCAGGTGGATTCTGGGAAAATAACAGAAAAAAAACCGCTGTGGAGTGTTTTGCTGCAACATGAGAAGGGGTGTGGTTAATGTAAGGCTGCAGTGTGTGGATGATCCTATTTTGCTGCAGAGAGGAGGTAGTTTGGGGATTGTGTTCGCTCTGCTGGAAATGTATGAAAACTTTGTCTTAACCTTAAATAAACTTTATGTAGCAAATCCTAGAAATATTGTGTGTTCTTTATTGGGATCCATATTGGTGGGTGAAGACATAACAGCTGGAAAGGGAAACAATAAAGATGAATTTTAAAAAATTTAAATAGAAATAAATACTCACGTGCAAAGTTACAGCAGAAAATCCTTTTTTTTTTTTTTATTTTAAGTGAGTAATATTTTAAAAAGCACAAAAGAAAACACATTATCTGCTGCTCCTGAAGTCTTTGACATGCAGCCAAACACACAAAAAAGAAAAGATTAATGCTGTTTTATCATTTGATGGTTTATTTTTGCTGTTGTGATTGTTGCAGACTTCATTCAGTGGACATTGGCTGCTGTTATGGATCACATGTTTCCATCTGAATGCTTTAAAAAAGAAAAGTGACCAAATACCCATTGACCAGTATCTTAAAAAAAAAAAAAGAAAAGAAAAGAAAAGTGGTACAATAAACGATCACTATTACTCCACGTGTGAATTTTAACGTATGCTTGTGGGGCGAATGATGAGGTCAAAGCCTGAACTACAATAAAAAATATACCTACATCGTGCATTAAACAAGATATTCCAATGACTTAGCGTGCTTAAATCACTCCTATAGTTTCATCATAACTGTCAGTGATGTAAAAACATGACAAACCTTTAACTGCGAGTGTTCACAGTTTGTGTTTGTCACAATATAAAGCAATAGAACTGACACAGTCCTGCACCAATTCAACTGTACAATCATTTTTTATTCTCATATTTTAATTCTCATTGATGTGAACTGGCCCCTCAGTCTTTGAAATGTTTATAAACCAAACATCCTCTAGAGGTCACTGTATCTCCACATTATGTTGCACCCAAACACATCAGATGGAAACAATCACACACCATCTTTCTCCTGCTTCAGACAGAAGCTCTGGAACAGCAGCTCTTTCCACGCTGAGCACTTGTTCACCACCTAAAGACGTTTAAGAGACATTCATAGCTTCAGAAAATGTCCACACATCTGAAGCAGCCGTTCTCTAAGCAGTGAACTGAGGCTCAAATCCCAGCGGCTGAGAGAGAATGTCCACATGGGAATGATTTAACTCTCACAAGCTCAGTTTGCATATTTGATGAAGATGACAAATTACTTGAATGATCATATAAGGAATTACATAAAAGAGGGAAAGAGTTTGCATATTGCATGAGCGCTGTATGAATAAATGTATGTTTCCTTGGTTACCTCAAAGTAATCCCCTGACAAATAAACACACAGAGTGCCACTTTGAATAGTTACATGAACGCTGTTTGTTCTAAACATTGGTACAAATCTGCAATAAAGTGGATTCAAACCGGAACATTTAAAATCATTTGTTGTGAGCTCTTCACTTGTTAAAGGTAATAAAATCTTGTTCTGGATGGTTTCTGATCTGCTGTCGAGGGGCTTCATAGGAATAGGTCGTAATAATCATTCACACACGGTGTTGTTCAAACCAACGGGACTTTATTTTAATTCTGGTTGAGATTTTAAGATTTTGAGCTGCAGTTGGTAGCACTGTTGCCCCGCAGCAAGAAGGTCGCCGGTTCGCGTCCCGGTGAGGACACCCGGGATCTTCCTACGTGGAGTCTCCATGTTCTCCCCGTGCAGCGTGGGTTCTCTCCGGGTTCTCCGGCTTCCTCCCACAGTCCAGAAACATGCTGAGGTTAATTAACACCAAAGT